TAGTCTCAGAGGAGGAGGTGGAACAGTTCTTACGCTGGAGTAAGAGTGGCAGAGAGGGGAGCACACAGCCCACCCTTGCCGGCGGACATGCAAGGTTTGGTACGTGGAAGTCAGAGGGTTCCGAGTCTATTGCTATTCGTTAGAATTAATTCTATTTCTCCTATAAGCTAATCGATTTTCTATCATGGCAGTTTCAACAAAGACAAAGTTCAATTTCAGTATTACCTAGTGAGATCATGATTTTATAGCAAGCCAGTTGACGTTGTTCTTTCCGCAGCATGACGCTTAGCACAGCAGAATATATGAGCTGAAATTACATCGATGGAGTTAAATTTGTCATTGAAAGAAAAGAGGGTATAAATTTGCTCTTGTACGCCTCTTATTCAACTTGGCAAAATGTGATCCGTTGGGGCACTTGTCTGCTAAGGTGCATCATCAAAAGCTAAGAGCTCTTACTGTATAGTTGACACAAAGCGTTAGAGATAGCTCAAAATGTCCTTTTGCTCTCACTTTCCTTAATGCATCTAATGCATCCGTTCAGAAGGGTTTCGTGTACATGCACTTTCTTGACAAATGTTGTTAGAATGGTAGCCGTTTCACTACAATGAGAGCTCTCCCCTAGTCGAGAATTAAAAGACTACTTATACTCCGTTCTGCCGCAGTTTGGGTTGGAAGTCAGTTATGCAGGCGAATCCCTTGTACACTGCTTTAAGTTTTCAAATCACAAAATAAATAGTGTGTTTAGAGAGTACTCGAAACACTCAATAACATGGCCACAATATCGTAGAGTTTTTTTAATATTATTGAGCTTTTGCGAGGAAGTCATAATGTTCCCTCCGGCTGGCATATCTATACCATCGTTCCTTCACAACGGGTTCACCCGAATGGATGGGTTCGCTCGTTCGCTCGTTTATGTGTTTCGTTTGCTCGTTTATGAGGGTGCTCGTTGTCGCATCGAGTTGAATTCGCTAAAATTTCTTAAATCAATAACTACTCTCAGCAGAACCTTTCTGAAGCAATAGTGTTGCAGCTGCCCATATCACTCCAATCGCAAGCTTGAAAATAAATTGATGAATGCAAGAACTAGAGCATGGTTTCAAAATTTGAGATATCTTTTACGTTGCTTGCGAGAAGTTCTCTACCTATAAACGTGGAAATGCATACAATGATTGGTGGCTAGCCGAGCTATGAAGCAACACGATTGATAACCAATGTCATTTCCCGAGATAATCAAACCCTTATCGTGCTCAGGCGATAAGCTTTCTTATAGACGTCTCTGTCACCCTCCATATCCGACGATGGCCGCTGTCAAAGATCTAGGAGCGCTTCACAGCGCACTGCACAGTTTTAGGCGTAAGGCGGTGACACGTATTCAACAACTTTCTGGAAATAAATCAGTATCCCTAAGTTGAAGCCAGTCAAACCAGCAGGCACATTCGAACTTTCGTAGATGGTGGACTTGAAACAAATAAATGGAAAAACGAGTTACTGCTAGGTGATAGAGTTCGGTTTGACCCGTTGAAACACCTAACCACTTTGATAAATGCCTTTTATTCGGCTGCATTTCAAAATGCTCGATAATATATATATATATGTGTGTATATATATATATATATATATGTATATATATGTATATATACTTGTATAATTGTATATGTACATATCTATATGCAGTACCCCAGAGTTTTGTTAAGCCTTCAATGAGGTTTGGTATTGCATCTTAGTGAGTACGCAGGTTTTAAGGGTTTCGCCCGTCTTATCAGTATCACACGCCTTACACCAAGAATAATAGAGAGCAAGACGTCACAGTGTTAGTCAAGTGTAAGTCAATTGAGGATTTGTGGCTATCAATATAAAAACACTGCCTTTTATTCGACAGTTTTTCAAAACCTCGGAAACTCCAAGATATATTTCCATAGGATTTTTATCGAGCCTTTTACAAGGCTGCGTATAACACCAAGATGTAATACCTAACTTTGCTGAAGAATTGTAACAGTCTGAGGAAATGTACTGATAACATCGACATCACTTTTACTGCGTGGATTCCAGCACCTCTCACACAATTTACCTTTTTCCTTCATATGTTTTCCACAAAAATCTTTGTTAACTTTACGTGCTATTCACGTTACTGCTTCAGAGATTGGTCTTTTTCACAAATATCATAGCGTAATTTTATTATTGTGCAACGATTAGCATTCGCTCCCAAAAAAGTGAGATCTGGGTTCGAATCCCGGCTGACGCAAACGTTTTTGCACAGCACTCTACACAATTGGGTACAGTATAGATGCAAGTCAATTCGACTCCCTTTGTAGCTTGGCTGAGTGCCGAATCAAGGCGCTCCCACGTTGAGGAAAGCGTTTGGCAGGGATAATTAGTATTTTCTCTAGTGATGTTAGACCATATCACTAACCACTTCGCCAACTATCACTTCACTCCGGAAAATAAACTTAGTAACTATCTCAATGCAGTGAGTTCGCCAGTTTTAAAATTGTAGCACTTCTGAAATTTTCAATTGTCCTAGGAATCCAAATTGAAAGAGTCCATAATCACTTGCGTTCAGTGAAGATGTTGTAGACTACTTACGAAGAAAGGACAAAAATTCTGAGCAGCCACTGCTCGTTATCAATCCTCTGCAATAACGTGTTTCTGTCGAAGTTTACTGTTTTTAAGACAGGTTGAGAAAAAATTAATATGCCTTCATAAGTATCATTTTGCGCAGAACGCTTTGCAGGACTCTAAAAAGTATTTTCAAGAACAAAGACCATTGTGTATGTTGAATGCTTTGTTGGAATTGAGAAATACACTGAAACGTTATTATTATTTTGTTTCTTCTCTTTCTCAGAACTGTCATTGTTATTGATAACCATAAATTTTTTTTTGTTTCTTTCCTCTCTTGAGAATAAAACTTTGCTATTGAAAAAAGAATGAAAAGATGAAAAAGTACCTCAGTAAAGACTCCATAAATTATACTTGCTATCCCGAGTGAAATATTCACATAACCAGCTTTTCTGTCTGAGCTTCTGCAAATCAAACAAATTTTCCATTTGAAAGAGCACTTATGATGACAAAAGCAAATCAGTAACTACCTTGTTTTTCAGATGACCATGAAAAATATCTTAAGTGAACAGTTTGAGTACAGTATCACGACGTTGCGCATGCGACGAGCAGTTTATTGCTTCGAGTGCTCAGTAATGCCTACTACAGGGAAAAGGTTGTTGGTTCAGTCCCTTCTTATTACGCCTTATAGCAGTCTTTTCATTTGGATATGCATCATTTCACTGACACACCATATCTCTTACGTAATATCGTAGCAAAAGCGAATTATTCTTGTGATTCTCTTATTCAACTAATTGTTCCTTATCAAAAAGTAGTGAAATTTCTCAACAACTATACCTTTTTTTTGCTCTAATATTTACGTCTATAAAGGAACCTTAAATACTAATCGACACCAAAGAGTCTGCCGCGAAACGTTGTAGTAGGGAATATAATCAGCAACTTTCTCTGCGATGGCCGGTGTATCGCCAAGGCGCGACCACCTCCGTTGCCCTGCCGTACCAAGAAAGTTTATAATATTTTATAGGTCGGTGCATTAGCGCAATGTAAACTATCTATTGAGGCGGAACAGTGTCATTATGGTAGATTTCTCCAACAACAAAGCTTCTCTTGAACCCCGCAAAAGATTATAGCTGTGATCCCACAAGTGACTATGTGTTTCCAACTTTGAGCAATTCACTGAGAATTCAAGTCAGCAGATCAGCATGCCGTGGCTATACAACCTGAAGGCAGCCTCAGTTACTGACAAAACATGCAGAGCAATGAAACACTTTACATTTCTTTTCCAATAAGCACTATGGAAATTTCCTTAGAATTTGAGTATATAGTTATCTTAACGCGTTGACAACGACTCCATGCGCTTCCGTACACATCTAGCACTAAATTGATCAATTTCTTTAACTACTAATACTTTGGTTTCAAATATTTGATTGCTATAGAGTACCTGAGATTAGTAATCCCACAGCAGCTCCAAAAAATTAAATTAATTGGCAGCACACGATTCCTCATAACATAGCTCATAACAGTGTGCATAAACACTCTTGGAAAAAATTTACCAAACAAATCATTTTTGGGTTCATCCCGATTAGGAGAGGATAAATGAAAAATCGATCTTATTCGCTGGAGAGGAACTTTTCATAGAAGCGTTGGCCATTCGAAAGCTGAGACGTGATTATACAACCCTATGTTGTCGGTTTTCGAAAAAAAAAAAACTATTTTGACGTTGGTACGAGGAGATTTCCTGGCTTCAGACACGCATATTTTTTTGACAGACAGATACCTTTCTTTAGACCATTAGTAAGCCTTTGATAGCATAATCGAATTCGATTCCACGCTGTGCTTATATTTTGAGAAGACCTTTTTCTGAAGGTCAACAAGTTAAAATAAGCTGCAACACAACTGGTAATGAGTCGAATTCCCACTTGTGAGTAGCGGTGTCGTGCGCGATTCACATAGGTGCTGGGCTGCTGCGGCCAGTGAACGGTTCTATGAACAATTGGAGATCCTTTTATTTGACCGCCGATTGCGGTGTTATGATGTTGAAATAAACCCATCAATGTAGAGTGGTGTGCAGAAACGTTTGCGTCAGCGGGGATTTGAGCCCAGATCTTACTCTTTCTCGGAGCATGTGCTAAACCGTTGCACCACCGACGCTCGTTTTACACTCCACTCTTTCTACGCTACAACGCGTTATCTGTTAACAGCCAACCATCTACGGTGTGGCGGAGCAGTCATTATCGACGTTGAACCCACTTCTGTTGGGTTTATTGTAACAACATAACACTGCAATAGGCGATCGAATAAAAGATTACCGATTGATTATTGAAGCCCAATATCTGCCAACAATAGTGGGTTCAATGCCGATAATGACTGCCTCGCCACACCGTAAACTGTTGGCTATTGACAGATAACGCGTTGTAGCGTAGAAAGAGTGGAGTTCAAAACGAGCGTCGGTGGTGCAACGGTTAAGCACATGCTCGTGGAGAGAGTAAGATCTGGGTTCGAATCCCGGCTGACGCAAACGTTTTTGCACACCTCTCTGCATTATTGTATTCCATAAACGCCTAGAGAAGTATTGCGTCAAAGTTACATGAACGCCGCTTTCACCGTGACATGAATTATCTACAATCGTCTATTCACGCACATCGAGTTCAACTCATTACCTGGTGCGTTGCAGAGAAAAGGTCTTTTCAAAATGTAAGCCTAGCGTTGGATTCAAACTCGATTACGCTGTCGAATGATTTTCAATATTCCAAAGAAAACGCTTTGTCCGGCGATAAATATGCGCTAGTCTTGTGTAAAGATCACAGCGTTATAAAGGGGTGTTTTGAAAAAGCGGTAACGTAGGGCTGTAGCCTTAACTTTCAGTCTTCGAGTGGTTACTAACAGTCCTATGAAAGTTTCGTCTCCAGAAAATCAGATCGGTTTTTCATTCGTCCCCTTCTAATCAGAAAGAACCGATTTTGTTCTAATGAAATAGAAGCATCAACGTTTTTTTCTACAATCGATAGCCTTATTGATTTTCATTAAGCATACTCTATAGAATTCTAGTGAGAATTCAATATTTACTTACGACTACTTCCAAATTTCATCACTAGCACCCTTAATGTCATTATAGATCACCACGCGACAACGTCGCGCGCCGCACAAGATTTCAACGTAATTGTCAAGCGGTTAATTGTAATCAATGACTGTAGTGTGGACCAGCAGAAAGATAGAAAATTGAGAGTTTCTTGCGCCCGTCAAAATTCAAAGCACTTTTCAGTCATCGTAATCATTTTTGCTCTCTGAGGACGAGGCCTTTTCCGATTTTTCCTTGTGCCTTCATAATATATTTGATATCTTGAATCTAAAAAAGATCGTCATCGTAGTATTTTCTGAAATAGCCTTTCAGAGTGCGGTGGCAGCAAAAAAGAAGATAACGCTTCATTTAAAGCGCACTCTTCCTCTTAGTTATCGCTCACCAGCTCAATTTTCGGAGACATCAATAATGATATGCCAAAGAGTCACTTTAGAGCCGCTCAAGTCATGTGATCTATTGAAGATGGGCTGACTTGTAGAGTCCAATACACGTGTTTCGATCTTGCAATCTCGTCAGTCGGGCAGTTACCCTTGCTCGTCGTCTGCTAATCTCTGTGGTTGCCCCATCCTCACACTAAGAGTTAGCGACGACGAACGTTTTACACTCTGTGTCCAGTGAAACTATTACCGAACACAGAGCGTTGTATACTCGATTGCATTTGGCTGGTATATTTGATATATCGTATTATTCGTTTCGAGTGTTTTCTCAAGAGCACAGCTTAGATTTCAATATGCCAAATAATCATTTTTGAGTCCCTTTTTTTTATATCGGGCTCTACAAGTCAGCCCATCTTTAACAGATCACATGACATGCGGGGCTCAGAAATGATTTTCTAGCATATTGAAATTTAAGCTGTGGTTCTAAGAAAACGTTCGAAACAAATTTTATCAATAATATAATATTTGTTTTACAAAAGCCTAGAGTGCTGCAGTAGCGAGAATGGGATTACGTTTCACACTCAGCTTGAACTTTCTCGTCTACTAGGCTCAATAGTGAATATTTTTGACGATATAAAATGTAAGTAAAAGAATTGAACTCTTATAACGATAGAATAAAGTTATCTCTACATTCCTCAAAAGCTGCGAGGCGGCTTTGAGATTGCTGCGTCCAGTGCGGTTGGGAAAATCACGACAATGCGCGCCGAAGTCAAGGTAATCATCTTTGCGCTCCCACAACACACTAGAAAGCCCTTTTCAAAAATATTATCAAATTTTTCGAAATTTGAGCCATCGATAGATCGCTAAAAGTTTATTAGAGAAGCCTTGTTGAGCGAAAGAACACGCCTAAACCCGTTAAGTGTGAAACTCGATTCTATTTTTACTGCTACAGGACAGCAAAAAGGGCTTTTTAGAAAACGAGCACATTTTCGAATTTATCAAAATTTAGCTCACTGGGTGATCATGAAAATTTTGATAGTAACGCCAAAGGCAAATCATTGCATGCGACTCAGATCCAACTACAAGCTTTTTAACCGCAGCAATGACGAATTTACACTAAAGGAGCTGGAATTACCCGAACAATGGAAAACTTCTCATGTTTCGCATTTATTATCTAGCAAAATCTTCTTGAAAAATTGTTTGAAAGGCTGAATGATTTATTGTAATTACACAAGCCATTACAGTTATGGAAGAACTGTAGCCATAAAGACGAGAATCTGATTGTGCTTCACAGCAATGACTGGCGTGATGAAAATCTAAGATCACCGATCTTCATACCAACTTCAAGCCATCAAGTAATTGCGCGAATCACTGCTGTAGGACAGCAATACGACTAGATGGTCGCGCACTGGGACCCTTGCAACATAAACCACATACAGATAGAAATGACTTCTATCCAAAATAACATAAGTTAAGTCAGCTTCGATATTTAAATGAAGACGGAAATCAAAGATACTTCTATATTCAAAGGAATAACGTAAATTAAAAGCTTTTGATCATGGAATAAAGCCACAGAAATGAAGTCCGCTCACTCGCAATTATATCCTGGTATGCTTTCAACGTTGCCTCCGGCTTGTATCAGCCACTCCATTGTTCAATAGTATCGCGTATCTCAAATGGAGAAATTACAAGAGAATTACGTCAGAAACTCGAGCTTCACCGGATAATGGCAAGCGAAAAGCACATCTGATTCTGGATAAGTTGCCACGCCCTCGTCGACAAAAGCGGAATACGCCTATTTTCAGAAAGAAGAGATAGTAAAGACCCAAACTGAAGCGTTCGAAGTCGTATAAAGGTGTGGTTACCAATTCCTTCATAAGGTAAATTGCTAAAGCTACACTGCAGTTTCCACCTCTCACCATATGCATATTGACACAAACGCGGAAAAGAGTTTTTGTAACTCGATTCTGTTGAAAGTTTCTTTGTAACTAATGCGTAGTTTCATACTGAGATAACTCTGATGGATAATTCACGTTCTGTATTAGGGAATCTTCGGTCATGATTAGGTACAAGTCAAGTCGACAAGGAAGACGATTTTGTAATACATCGGAGAAGATGGCAGCACAGAAATCAGCACTGATTCGCTTTGCAAAATGCCACGAGTTGATAAAGACTATGTTCTGTGATATAGAGAAAATTATTCATAAAATCAGGTGAAGATGACAATTATTCGCTCTCAAGCTAGAAAGAAAAGATCGATTACTTTAACCTCGAAATAATCCTAATCCTCTTGTTTAACTATTATAACTACCACCATCTGACAATCGTGAGATATTTTTTGCAATGTTTGCGTGGTTACAGAACCGCTACTGCATTAGGGAAATTCCCCAATATTTAAACGTTACGAGAGTGCTAGTTTCCTCAAAATAGACAAAATTTTTCTAATTAACAGATTGCTTGCAAGATGTGAACCTAGCAGGATGCTAAAAAAAAGACCGTGCTCTTCGCTATATAAATATGAATACATCAGCCTTCGATACAAGCACTATCAAATAGAAAGTAACCTGTTAATAGCGAATGAAGTACAACAGCCGCCATGCCGTAAACACGTGAAAAAAATATCTCTGATCTTTGGTACCTTTACGATCGACCGCTCTTTTATTGGTCCTACTCAAAACGATATAGTCTGGTAAGGGTACAACATGTTTTGAACCGTTGGTTCTAGTGCTGAAAGGCGCCTGTTTCGTCCTATTGGGACTCATCAGTATCACCCTCTCTCGGTTCAGCCGACCCCTTGAGCTTAATTGATCCTCTATCAGGGAATCAACATCGAGTATTAAATCACCCTAATATTCTAATCTTTCGTTTTAATAAAGCGAATAAAGGCGACATTACCAAGCTGATGGCGACTTGAAAATCATGATAGAAGACATCAAAGCTAAAAAACTGGATGATCTTCAGTTACTTGTCATGTAATGAACGCATCATTGCGAATATAAATGTGAATAGATTAATGGTCCGATTGACTGTAGTCATTGATGCTTATCTTCTTTTTTTCAGTACTTTGATTTAGCATTTTGTGTAATATTTTCCGGTTCCTCATAGGTTTCATGGCTTCCTCTTGGAACCTCACGAAGAGACAAATTTATCCGCATATCGACTAAACGATCACGATCTCACGGCGGGGCAGTTGAAGGCGTTCTTTTTGCATTATAGCACTCAACACAATGGAATATATGTGAGCTGAAATCATTATGACGGAATTAAATCTATCAGAACAAAAAGACCATTATTTTTCTTTGGCATGTCTCTTTTGAGCTCAAATTTAGAAATGCTCCGTAGACGTACTCAACTGAAGAAGGTAAAGTGCTGAGTCAACTTTTGGTGAGGTAATCTCGATTAATTAAATAATGACTATGACGGATTGATTGTTAAATCTGGATGAACAAATCAGACTTTGCGCATTTTTTCCAGAATCCACTCTAATCCATTTATTTTTATTTCGTCTACTTTTTCACCATGTTTTCATCTCATCCAAACTTTAAGGTAAAATCAGAGTCAGTCAGATCTTGAATATGACACAAAGATGAAGATTATACAGCATGGCCCCACACTGCGTTGTCGCAGAGCTGTCGTTCCGCTTGAGAACTGGATAGCGAAAGTGCAAGAGAGTCAACGACTGAAAACTGAATACTGCTGATGTGTAGTTAACTCGAGACATCATGAATAGTTAGAAGAGCTTTGATAACTCTTCTTTTTTTTTGCAGATTTTCCTTCAAATATGCTTTATATACATTGGATAAGTTTCACAGGTGGAGAATGTAGATGCAATTGGTCATTCTTTCTATTCTAGTCGTATTTCATTGTTTTATAAGTTTTAAACTTGTTTACCTCTTCCTCTCAATTGTTGTTTGATTCGTTCAGCGGGCAAATGATACTACAATGGTACGCATTTTTGTAGTTATAGAAGTGCTTTTGTAGTTGGATTATATTAAACGGAAAAGTGGCATTCCCGAGAAAATTCTCTGATCATTAGTCGACATGTAGGTGATTTTCTGTGG